ATAGATTGTTTTGATGTGACGTCATAGTGAAATAGGGCAATTGCAATGAGAAGACACCAAAAAACTGCAACATTAATTGAAAGTCTAATAATTAGCATCACAAAGCTGTTGGCAATATTACCTTAGAAACTCGTAATGCAAAATACTTTATTTTGCATGGATAACTCACAAAAAGGCATTTTTGAAGTTCTTCTTTATTGGGTTAATTCCAAGAATGCATGATATTCGTGATTAATGGATCAGACAGTTTTATAAGCGGTCTTCCATGCAATATATACATCTTGTCCCATGCAAAACAACTACACTATGGCTATATATATTTATCTGTTTTTATGGTAATAACACTGGCGAGGATTACGAGGCATTTCCCTTCACATGGCATCCACAATTAATAAAGTTTTCCTTCAAGAATTCAATATGTTAATTAGCCGTGCTCTGATTTTGATGGAAAAGGGCGGGAATAATGCTAGCTCACCATACCTTTTATGGGCATTTTCAAAATTTCTGACAAGCATTAATTCTATATATGGGAGTACCCCACGGGTTTTAAGGGCTCGATCTGAGAAATAGCCGCCGTGTCCTGAAATTGATCACCCTAGAGGTTGTTTCAGGGCTTTAAATGAATTTGAAATGGTATTCTGGCCAACTCTTTGATCTTCAGTGTAGAACATAGCAACAGAAACAACAGTGGATCGCTTTACATCTCTCTTGCACTTATATGGCTTTTTAGCATTTTTGGCATCTAAGATGAAATTGTGGAATGTACGTTCATTCTCATTCACAATTCCATTATTTATTTTATTCAAACTGATAATCTTTTGTATTTGGTTCTTTACCATTTCACAGGACGATCAGCAAAGAATCGACGCAGTACGTGCTGTTGACAATAATCTAAATGATTATATTAGGGACGAGTTGTAATCGTAAGAGTCAGACCGCACCAAGCCTGAAGTCATTGAATTGTTATGTACAAGTTCCAAAATGCGACCAACGTTTTTGTAGAAACTTTCGGGTCGCAGCATTTTACTTTCTTTAATAGAAACAAATAGTTATAAAAATATATTGTCTTACTATTCTCCTGAGCTAGCCAATACAAATTTCGATAAAAAAGAAAATTCGCGTGTGACGCATTTTGTTAGTAGTATTAAATGACTCCATTGTGCAAAGTACCTATCCAAAGTAGTTTCCTCTCACCCCATTTCTCCTGATATTTTAAATATAAAACTTCGCTAATCATCCTATATCGAGTAAAATTCGAAAAGTTCTACATCTATTTCATCATTTTCAAATTTAAAAAAAGAAGTGAAAAAATAGGAGCAAAAGCCTAAAAAGCGTGTAATATTTAGGTCACCCATCCAGGTACTAACCCTCCTTAGACGGGCTTGACTCAGTATCTTAAAATATTGCCCAAGTTTTTTCCACTGGACCACGGTTCCATAAAATTAGCATAACAACAGCCTTGAAAACAATGCACCGAATAGACTAGACTTTTTAACATTATACTTTTAACCGATTCCGTGCGTGGCAGAGATGCAAGGGATTAGCCGATATGGTCTGGGGGCCGGCTGGTCTCTCCCCTGATGCTCCGGCTAGAACATTTTCTTGCGTAATTCGTACACCCAAGGGCAGAAGGATTTAATCGCCGTCAGGTCCGAAGTCCATACGACGCCTCAGCTCTGCCGATGTCTCGGGGGTATGGCAAAGTGGAGTCGATTTTTTTGAATTTTTCTCGGTTCAAATCCCACCTTATCAAGACTCTAATTTTTACTTTTTCATTTTTTGATTGGAAAAAACTTTTTTACCTTATATTATTATCAATAATAATATAATAATAATCCACATATTCGCTTTAAAATAGCCCCTCTGATCCATCGTTTTGCGCAAAATTATTGGGTTCCAGGGAATGAACTCAGGAAATGTCAACCTGAAGTACTTCAGTACCAGATAGACCATTTGCACAAACAGGTCACGTGACCCTATTCCCTTAATATACCCATTGCATGTGATGTCAAACGAACTCAGTTTGGAGGATAAAGCAAAAGAATTTCAATCACCTGAGAATTGGAATTTTATTGTTTTGCCATCAAACCACAGGCAGCCCAATCTGTATTATGGGCTTGGGCACGATGGTGCCAAACCTCTATCAGGTGGCATAGAGGTGAGAGCATTCGCCCCTCACAAATGCGACCTGGGTTTGAGTCCTGCCAGGGTCATTGTCATATGTGAGTAGAGTTGTTTGTTGGTTCTTTCCTGTGCTTTGAGGGTTTTCCTCCCTCCATAAAAATCAACGGCTAAATTTCGCTTGGAATTCAGTGGATGAAGTGCCACTCTGTGGAAATGCCATTGCTAAATTCCATAATTTATTAATATTCTCATTATTACTTTCAAGGTGAGTGGAATTATTACTTGACAAAATCAACAATTCATAACAGGCCTATATATACTTTATTATTAATTGTCATAAATCAGTCAAAAAGTCAAAAAAAAAAAAAAAAAATTCTACTGACATAAAAATCAATAAATACCCAAAACATTATTATAATGTACAAAATATCCATTAAAATTCAACTAGGTCTAAGAATAGCTAATAGAGGGGAATGGTTAGGAAACCTAATGTTATCAGGTCTTTGTTCGCTTGTGAGGTTGAACCGGTCTTGACCGTGCAATATGTTTGATTTATGCTCATCCGAAATTGCAAAATAAGTAAACATTCAAAGAATATTCAAGGAATATTCAAATATCTCTTAAAAATCTTTAAGTGTTTTGAACTAGCTGCCAAAAGAAAGATTTTGGTCTGTTCACTCAGCCACTGCCAACAATGGTAAAACAATGGCAAAACAAAGGATTGTGCACGGTCACGCTTGAAAAAAGTGAACAATAACCTATAACAATAGAGTTTCCTAACCAATTCCCTCTATTAACTATGGTCTAAGCTGTTTTCATGTTTAACCTTTAACCTATTCAACTTTTAGAAATTACAGTTTTTGGCTTCCGTCAATCAAAAAAAAAAAAAAAAAAAGAAAAAAAAAAAGAAAGATTTTAGTCAAAGAAGGCCAATGCTGTCTTAAGATTTCTAGTTTTGTTGTATTGTACATCAGTGACATTTTTAAAAAGAGTACATTTACCCCTCCTCAGCTTTTGTATGGTTTTTCTCTCTCATCAAAGTTTATTTAGTTCAAAGAAACATAAAAAGCACTATAAACCAACAATTATTGTTCAATATTCACTAAACTATTCCATCATAATGGCTTTTTCTCTTAACCAATCAATAAATTATAACCTAGAGAATATATCTATAAACCCATTATACACTATTAAATTTGAAAGTGCTTTGGTAACAGTCATTGTGCATGGTAACAATATATATATTTTTGATAATAAAGTTGTGAAGAAAATTCATAGGCTTAGAATCTTAAAGTTATAAGTTATGACACTTAAATAACTTTTGCTTATCAACATTCAAGCTAGATTTGCGAGTCCAAATAAGAAGGAAGGAACTTCATGAACATTGCACTGCTATGTCTATCCCTTTCATTACATTGGACAATAATAAATCTGAACCATACAAGAAGTACCATCCTGCTAAAGCCTCGTTATCAAGCCAGAATTTCATGATAGCCCACATGGCCTACGGTAAGAACTGGCATATCCTGGAGTAGTACAGTAGTGCATCTTCATATTAATGCCTGCAGTTTATAGCTTTTTTAAAGAAAAGCAGTGGATCTTTAGGTGGTCACAAAGTTCATTTACCTGTAACAATATAAAAGTAACAGTCATATAAAAGAAATTGTGGGAGACCTTTAAGGGAGGGGATGGGGTTGTTTTCCTTCACCGCCCTCCTCCCCCAAGAAGTGTGGCAAGAGGTATCGGAACCCTCTTTGCACTAGCTAGGTCATTAAAAATAATCTCTAACTTTCATTGAGTTTCTTGTGACTCTTTACTATTGATTGCATCTCTTTAATTTGAACTGAATCTACAATATAGTTAAAGATTGAATCACAATTTCAACTTAACAGCTCTTAATCCTTGGCCGGGGATGCCTGTGACCAAACCAAATATCCATTTCTTTGAACCCTGAAACAATATCTTGGGCTGACTTAAGTCAGGGTATTGTAACTTTGTAACAAGTCAAAGCAAATTCATATATTTAAGCAATGAAATTAAAAAATTCCCCACTAGACTTTTTGAGGATATAAAAATCTACTTACAACACCAATGCCATAATGAATGTGAAGAACAGCGACAATTAACGTGTAAAGTCCCAGGGCTATATATTCTCCACCGACGTGTAGGAACGGAACAAGAAGCAATACTACTGCTAGAGGGTATAGCAAGTGATTGAAGCGCTCACACTGCTGATTGCACATTGTGCTGACTATCAGACGACACTGGCGATGAAGAATGAAAAAAAAACATAAAAACTCTCTAAAATGTTGACCTCCCCCCCCCCCCCCCCCCCCCCCCCCCCACAATCTTGCTTTTGGGTTCTTGGTTCAAAAACACACTCATCTGACACCATACCAATAATGCATTACGAAACCTTTATTCCACTTAAATAACAAACAATAACAAAGCTATTGATAATTGACTCCAACCAGGTTAACGAAGAGGTCAACCTGACTCCAAGAATCTGCCCAGAAATTTTTCAAATAAAAACTTTCTTGACATAAACCTCTTAATTCCCATTTATAAAATGACTATGATTCAAGTAGCATTAGTCAAAATAACCCTAACTAACTAACTCAAAAGGAGAGTCCTATTCTGTGATTGTGAGGGTGAGAGTGTATCTGTATCTGTGTGTGATAATGAGGATTTGATAATAAAAATAGTATGCAGAATTTTGTTGTAATGAAATGGCTTACCGTGATATTGGAGTAGACAATTCCCAATGAAGTCAGAAACAATCTGGACTGATTATACAGGATGTCCGATGGAGATATGACAGCCCAGAAAGTAAACATGCCAAATAACGCCACTAGAGGTAAAAAGGGAGCCAAACCTTCCATAAATGACACACCACGCCCTGCATTGGTGACATGTGCCCTGCAATAACAGACATAGTTCATCAAAGACAGTATGGTATTGAGTATATATGGAATGGGCTGCGAACACTACCCCACCAAGATTGGCACACCATGCCCTGTATTGGTAAGATGTGCCCTGCAATAACAGACGTAGTTCATCAAAAACAGTATGGTATTGAGTATATTTGGAATGGGCTGTGAACCACTACCCCCTCCCCCACCAAGATTGACACACCACGCCCTGCATTGGTAAGATGTGCCCTGCAATAACAGACATAGTTCATCAAAGACAGGATGGTGTTGAGTGTACATGGAATGGGCTGCGAACCACTACCCCCCTCCCCCCCAACCATGATTGACACAACATGCCCTGAATTGATGTGTCCCCTGCAATTAATGAAAATGGATCACTGGTTGCATGAATTAAATATTGCATAACAACATGACATTTAGTTTCCAGAATAACTATGTGGATAAGGCTAGAATTACCTCCCCCCCATCCTCTGAGTTTGTAGAGTAGGAGAGGAACTCAAGCAGTAGACAATCTAGTGGTTTGATTATTAGGTAGAAAAAGATACTTACACATACACACTGTAAGCACACATTGGAAAAGTAATAAAAGCACAAGAAGCTGCAAGAAAAAAAGAAGAATTCAACAAGTTAGTGGTTGGGTGGTTGGGTGGTTGGGTGGATGGGTGGATGGGTGGATGGATGGATGGATGGATGGATGAAAGGATTGGTGAATAAATTGACGAATAAACGGATGTGTGGAGGGAGGGATGTGTGGAGGGAGGGATGTATGGATGGATGGATGGATGAATTGATGGATGGATGTGTGGATGGATGGATGG